CATGGCCGTGGCCGCAGCCTCCAGCCCTCGTCGCACCTCCCTTCGAGACTCACGCCCCCTGCCGTGGGGTGTCCCAGCCTCCGCCTGCCGGGCCCGGCAGTGGGTAGTGCCGCGGCCGACTTGGCCATCCTTCTCCGGCCGTCCGGTCCTCGCTTCTACCTGTCTCGTCACTGTCGTTAACTAAGGGACTCCGAACTGTCTCCGCCTGCGGTCAGGCGCTGCGGAAGACAGCCCAGCAGCATGGACGAAAGAAGAGAAGGACCTCGGCCGCGCGGCAAACGGCGTGCCGCATTCTGTGACTAGGATTGGCAGAAAGCCGGGAAAGCGGACAAAAGCCAGGCCTCTGGAGCGACTCCGATTGCGGCCAGGGTTTTGAAACGTGGGCAAAAATGCTGTCATTTCCCTTGGCTGGAACCACCACCGCGGTGGTTGCCCACAGTTCCCCTCAGACGTTTCCCTGCTGCCGGGCGGGCAATGGAAGTGACGCATGCCGGGATTTGTAGTTTGCACCCGTGTGGCATGTCATTTGCATATATTACTGGTCGACTAGAGCCTAGAGCTGTCAACGCAGCGCTAACTAGGACCCCTAGTAATTAAGGTGTCAGCACTCTTTGCTCTTGTATTGATTTAAGAGCCTAATCAGTGCATATATTTTCCCCATACGAATTTTACCCGAAACTTGATCAGAAAAGGCTGAGTCAAGCAGTTCTTAACTTTGCGTCTGGAAGACAGGTTCCCAGTTCTGGTTTCTTTTCTGGCATATCCTGGGGCACCTATGAACAGTGGGGCTTCACTCTCGCTATCTTTTAAGTGGACAGTGCGCATGCACCAACCTCCTCTTTTTTTCCGGCTGGAATCATGGAGGGTGTCGAGTAAGTTGCAGCTCATTTTGCGAATCCTTCTCCATCCCTGAGACCAGACACTTTTTGTCTCACTTTTTCCCGATCTGACTGTAGCCTGTGCCTTTGCCCCCTTATCTGTCTATTTGTGACGCTGTATGACGCTAGTGGGACCCCAGGCTGGGATGAGATACGGGCGGCCTTGGGGCGGAGGTATTGGAGGTACCGGGGAACGAGTTGCTGAGGGCCGAATATGTGCGGAACTGGCCGTTTAGGTGGAGGTCCAAGCCTCAGTAGAGGCTCTTTTGAACGACGTGCAGAACCTGTGGTTTTGGTTCGTTCTTAGCTGGCACTCGGCCCAGGCGTCCCTGTCGCCAGGCCTCTGCTTTCAGCATGTGGAACTGCGAGACTTAAACCGGGGTTGGTTTTTATGAGGAGCCTAGGCGCTCCCTCGTTAAGAGTCTAGGTACAAGCATCTCGGAGCAGTTTTTCAGTCTAGTAAGTTTTGTTGCTTTGCTGTGGACTGTTTTTATTAGTAGTTGGAGGTCAATACTGATCTGGTTTATATGTAGGTTTGTTATTGTCGTTTTCGGGATTCCCATGTTAAAGATGAAGGTTATTGGATTAAAGAGAGTCTAAAACTGTCTGCATTTAATAGTATAGGAGAGCAGATAAAGATATAAGTGGTTAGAGCTACTGGGTAGTTCTGTTAAACGACACATTGGTCCGTATAGAATGGGAGTGAGCTGTTACTAACATTGTTTGTATGCTAATGTCAGAGAGAAGAAAAAGAAGGTTCCTGCTGTGCCAGAAACCCTTAAGAAAAAGCGAAGGAATTTCGCAGAACTAAAGATCAAGCGCCTGAGAAAGAAGTTTGCCCAAAAGATGGTAAGTGTAAACTTTTTTGAGCTATTTATTAGGTAAAAAGATGCCTTGTAGCCAGGATTGAAAATGAGGCTCATTGCTTCACTACTGTGATGGGAAAGAGATTGCTTAGCTCTTTAATGAGGCTTTTTCAAATGATGGGTAGTACCTTTTGGAATGTTACTGCATACTGTGTGTGACAAGGAAAGGTTTCAAGGGAAGAATTTTAATTTTTTTTTAAGATTAATTCTCATTGTTGTATCTTCGACTAAAAATCAGAGATGAATAGCTGATAACTTGTTTTCAGCTTCGAAAGGCAAGGAGGAAGCTTATTTATGAAAAAGCTAAGCACTATCACAAGGAATACAGGCAGATGTACAGAACGGAAATTCGAATGGCTAGGATGGCAAGAAAAGCTGGCAACTTCTACGTACCTGCAGAACCCAAATTGGCATTTGTTATCAGGATCAGAGGGTAAGTTCAGTTTTTACTTTGTTAAAGACAGTCTGGTGTTAAAGGGGAAGTTGTAACTTCCCATTACTTTTGGGGGCCCTGATTCTGGAACATTGGGAAAAAGTCTTTTGGGGATAGGTAAAACAAGGGGTTAGCACTTTAATGGTTTAGTTGCAAGCCTATGTTCAAAGCTTCCATCCTGTTGCTAATGTTTAGTGTGACGGAGATTACCTTCAAAAGTAGTTAAAGTACAATCTCAACGTTTAAAAAAGACAAAAGTACACAGAATGAGGACAAGGTAAGGGAGTCAGAAAGATGTGAATGCCAAAGTATATTTCAAAGGAGTTGGGGGAGAATAGTTTCGATAACTAAAGGAAAAACCCCAGTGGTCTTTGTTGTAACATGAGAGGATTTCTGTTTATTTAGACCTGTCTGTTGTCCAAAATTACACTGATTAAATTTCCTGTTGTTTATTAATGGAGATGCAGATAAAGGCCAAGTGGAGAATGTTTAGTATTTGTGTTTTTCTCCCTCCTTTTTCACTGTCAGTATCAATGGTGTGAGCCCAAAGGTTCGAAAGGTGTTGCAGCTTCTTCACCTTCAATGGCACCTTTGTTAAGTTCAACAAGGCTTCAATTAACATGCTGAGAATTGTGGAACCCTATATTGCATGGGGGTAAGTCTTATTCTTTGATTTGTCTGGTAATGATTTATTACCGAATTAAATTTGCTATACAGGGAGATGAATTTTAGCTGTCTAGACAGTGATACAGGCAGTCTCCTGGTTATGAACGAGATCCTTTAGGTTGAATTTGTGGGTAGGTTGAAACAGGTACATATGGTTTATTTAGCGTCAGTTAGTGGAATGTTTGTTTTGGTGTATATTTTAGCTTTCTAAACATATAAAACACTTAAACACTTCCAAACGGTGCGGTGTATTCAGGAACATCACAAAGTATTGAGTGTGTTCGTCGTTACGAACCACCAGTGTATTTAACTCAAAGTTTTAATATAATAGACTCTATGACAGTCTGCTCTTAATTACAAATTGACATTTGTAACCTGGGGACCGCCTGTAATCTGACTCTGATCATTAATGTGTGCTTTTTATATTTTAGGTACCCAAACCTGAAGTCTGTGAATGAACTGATCTATAAGCGTGGTTATGGCAAAATCAATAAGAAGCGAATTGCCCTGACAGATAATGCTTTGATTGCACGATCTCTTGGTAGGTTTTCCCTATTTGAGGAGAAGTTTGTTACCAGACCATGGTGATTCTTGGATCTTGTGGCCCTACATTTCCCATGATGAACTATCAGATATTCCTTATAATGGTTAAGTCTAAGGAAAATCTAAGGTGTTTTCTCATTGGCTTGACTCCATGTTTGTCAATAAAGCCATGCATGTCTTCTCTTGATGCTTTACTGTTTACGTCGCTGTCTATAATGGACACTCATCGAGCGCCTTAAAATTTCCAGGTAAATACGGCATCATCTGCATGGAGGATCTGATTCATGAGATCTATACTGTTGGGAAACACTTCAAAAAAGCAAACAACTTCCTGTGGCCCTTCAAATTATCTTCTCCAAGAGGTGGAATGAAGAAAAAGACCACCCATTTTGTAGAAGGTGGAGATGCTGGCAACAGGGAAGACCAGATCAACAGACTTATTAGAAGGATGAATTAAGGTGAGAGGCTGCATACTGACAGAAGTTTATTTAATACAGAGGAAAGTGTATAGTCCTGAATATTTTCTTACGTTAAATATTGATGGGGGTTTGTTTGCGTTTTAATCAATATTTTCAGTGGAAAAACTCATAACAATCAGTTTAATTACTTTTGAGGATATTTCTGGAGGGAAGAAAAGGCCCATTTTTTGTTTAAAAACGGAAACTGAGTTTTCTATTTTTTTATAATTGTCTGATTTACACTAATTCTTAACTGTTAAGGTGGTTTATATAATGGGTTTTTTTTTTTTCTTCCCCTTTTTAGGTATCTACCATGATTATTTTTGTAATCTGGTCACTTAATAAATCCGGGACTGCTTTCAAATTGAAATATTGTTGTATTGGTGACTTTTTGTTAGCACGCCACGTCCCTTAATTATTATGGTAAATCTTGGTGTGTAATAAAATTAAACCAAATGAACTGCCTAATGCATGTATACCTAGGGTCCAGTTTGTATCTTGGGAAAAGACTTTCCTCTACAGAAAAGAAAACCTAAATTTTGACCTTTGAGTTGTGCCAAGATGGACTGTTTTCTTTTAAGAAAGCCTGTTACGCAGGCATTTGTGGATGATTTGTAGGTAATAGAAGTTCACTTCACAGATGTGAAAAAAAAATTAATTCTGTTGCTAGAATTCCATTTCTCAGGCTTTGGCTTGCCTTCAAAGCTGTACCATGTAAAGGTATTTTCCTTTTATGTTTCATTTTTATGCTGCAATTTGTTTTTTGTTTCGCATCCTTCCGCCCGTTTGGGTGAATTAATTCCATTACTTGTTATGTATGTTAGGAAGGAAGGAATGAAATTTGCACCCATGAATTGGAAGTTATTTTGGAGCATCTGAAGGACTTGTGAAGTTTATGAGCAAAATTTTGAAATGGAAAATTTTGGTATTTTATAAATAACATTTCTGTATATGTTATGTATTATTTAGACTAATGAAGTAGAAATTTTGAGTGGAGTATGTAACATGAAATACGTAAAAGTAAAAGAATTTTTGTGGTCCTCGATTGTACCAGGAGTATGACGTAGTGTGAAACAGATGCTCTGTTGATTTTTTTTTTGGCACTCTCACACCAGAGTTACTATAGATTTAAGAATTGCTTTAAATTTTTTTGTTTTTTGGTATTGGAGGCTTTTTCTGGCTTAGCGAGTTTCTTTAGGATCAATGAGTTACGGAGAGAAATAAAGATGCTTTAAGAAGTTTATAAAATCATGCTGTGTTTGAGTTATCAGTATTTGACCAGAAATTTAATCTCTTAGTGAACTGTTGGATCAATGTAAAAAAAAAAAAAAAAAAGGTATATTAAACTCTAGGTGGAGCCAAAGAGCATATGTTTTGAGATTCCTTGTAATTTTGTTTTACTGCTTTAGTAGAAGAATATGAGTTCCGCCTCCCAGTCTTTGAAGGAAGGTGGTGAGACTGTCCTCTAGTCTAGATTGTCTTACGTGTGCTTGCGTTACCCAGTGTCTTGAAAGATGAGAGCAGCTCAGATTATGACAGTCTGTTTGGCTTAGTGGAATAGTGAGGGCCATCAGTGGTCTTTGTGGGGTCTAGATAGTCTTTAAGACTATCTGGGTATAATAAACTAGCCAATATCTAGTCATAATAAAGTTGTGCAGATGGCATGTTAAACCCCTAAGCATGGTTGGGTTGGGGGAAAGACTAAATGAGAAATTTATTAAAGATGTGTCCTAATTGGAATATTAAAATACAGAAGCGACATTGTATATAGGATGATGTTCAGCAGAGCTTTTTGAGCTGGTGAGGGATGAGAAGATTCTGTAGGAATATCTAGGATAAAGAAAAGTGTTTTGGTTGTATATACTCTGCAGACATTTCTGCTCTCAGTCCTGGAAACTCAGCTCTTCTCTTTTCCGTATAAATCCTTTGCCAAGTGGGGCCTGAGGCCAGGACCACCAGAGGGTGAGGGAGCTTGGGGGTGGGAAGGAGTTGCAGAGATCCAGGACTGCGCAGAGAATGCTGAAACCCTTGCATGGGGATTAAAGACCATAGGCAGGGTTGGAGAGCGGGGTAAATAGAAAAACTTAGAGCATTGCAGCTAGGTGACAACTTGGACCTCAGTTTCCTGCAAGTAAAGTGGAAGAATGATCCCTCCTCTGCCTTTGTCACAAGATTGTGAGGACTGAAAATGTTTTATCAACTGTCAGGATCTATTCAAATGGAAGTGGGTGCCTTATTTTATGTTGGAAACCCACCTCTCCCAAGAGTGGTTTCGTTGCCTGCAAGGTTCCTTCCACTAGATTGTTCAACCAACCTTTCCAGAAGTCTTGTGCACCTTCTGGGGTCTACTTGTACAACAAACGTTCGTCTCACATAACGTTTATTTTCATTTTTACCCTTCAAAGTTACAACTTTATTAGATCTTTCCCTGGCTATCCCAGTCTTTATTTTAGTCCAGGTTGTCTGTTGCACTCAGTTGGCCTTTAGGCAGAGTTACCTAGTACTTTATCTTTGAAGACTCATTTGTGGTAGGTGTGGGCCTATGATAGTAAATAGCCTGTCTCCTTGCATGTGTCAGTCTAGTGGGCAAGACAGTGTGACACAAATGTAGTGAAATCGGGTGCTATAAAGAAGTACAGATATGATAGGGCCTGTTTATGGGGTGCATTTGGGACTCACCTGCAGGGGAATGACAGCTTCTTTCCTGGTCTCACTGTTTGAGAGCCAGACCCAACATTGTTTTCATACACACCCCTTCTCAATTGTAAACTTTCGTGACTTTTTTTTAATCCTACCAGTACCTGCCATATAGTAGGTACTCTGTTTGCTACATGAATGTATTAGTTTCCTGTTGTTGGGTACAACAAATTACCAAAAACTTCAGTGGCTTAAAACAGCATGAATTTATTCTCTCACAGTTCGTGAGGTCAGAAGTTCAAAATCAGTTTCACTGGACTGAAATCAAGGTGTCAGCAGGCCTGTGTTCCTTTTGGAGGCTCTAGAGAATCCATTTCCTTGCCTTTCCCAGCTTCTAGAAGCGATGGATCATTGCCTCTTCCTCCATCTTCAAGGTGCCAACCTCTGCTTCCATCCTTAGGTTCGCTTGCTCTCTGACACTGATCCTTCTGGCTTACAAGAACCCCTGTGATGACATTGGATCCACCTGGATATTCTCCATCTCAGTGTCCTTAGTTTAAGCACATCTGCAAAGTCCCTTTTGTCATGTAACATTCACAGATTCCAGGGTTAGGGCGTGGATATTTTTGGGAAGCCATTTTTCTGTCTCCTACAGTGATACATATTTGCATATACTGCAGAACCTGCGAAAGCTGGAACCTGTGTGAGGCAGAAGCCTGTCAGAGAAGGAAAACTCAAATTTTCCAGTAAAACGAGTGATAGAAAAGTGTAAGACTGCACCCTGTCAAAGGCAAAAAGCGTTAGAGACCCAGAAAAGCAAGGCAGTCCTGGCGAATTCTGGCTTTCACAGGTTTTACTGTATGACAGTTTCTCTATCTTCCATCCTGTCCGGGTCCCCATTTCTCACTTAGACTTGTATGATAGTTTCATATCTGGTTTCCTTTACCTGTCCCTCCCCTCCCTTCATGTGCTATAGCAGCCGGCAGTCTTTGTAAAAACAATTGTCATCTTTCCTGCCTTGACCTCCCTGCTTGCCCCCCCAGTGGCTGTCTTCTACCCTTGTTATAATTCAGACTCTTGAGTATATGGTGTGCAAGGCCATCATGGTCTCCGCTAGCGTCTTTATCTCTTCTTTCTGGCCCCCCTGCTATATTACCTACTCCTCAGAAATGCCTAACTTCTTTTGGGGGGTCTTGGCACTTGCTAATCCTTGTGGGTGGAACACTTAATCCCCCAGGTTTATAGACTTGGTTTCTTTTTCCTTCTGGTCTCAGCTCGAGTCATAGAGGTCTTCACTGGCACACCTTCATATAACCCTGTTTGTCTTAATGGTATTCCTATGTCTGACCTTTTCCTGTGTCCTCACTATCTGCTGCTGCTCCCAGCCTCTGCCTGCTGTTAGGTTCCAGTGTTCACCCTCGGTGTTCTAGCCCTTAGAGCATGGCCTGGCACATTGTAGGCGGCACTTAACTGTTGATTGAATGAATCTAGTTTCTTAAGGGCAAGAGCCGTTTAGAAATCTTGAATCTTCACTTCCTGGCACGTGGAGTCTTTGGGTGTTTGGTGGTCGGGAATAATGAAAGGCGGATTGGGACCCAGAATGTGGGTTTACGGATAATTATTTTACTTTGGAGGACTCAAAATTCCATTGTGTAGGTACTTGGAGATAGGGGCCTTGAGCAGAATTAAATGTACTGTAAGAATGTTCGAGGAAAGCTGAGAGGGGATTCATCTTCAGTGTTCACTATGGGCAAGACTTGGGGAAAAAATGACAAGTTGTACCCAAATAATTAGAATGTAAGAGTAAGTAATAAAAGAACAGAGTCCCTGGGTGGTGCAAATGGTTAAGATGCCTGGCTAACCAAAAGGTTGGAGGTTCAGGTCAACCTAAAGGTGCCTCAGAAGAAAGGACTGGCGATCCACTTCCAGAAAATTGGTCATTGAAAACTATGAAGCACAGCTGTCCTCAGACACACGTGGGGTCTCCTTGAGTTGGAATCGTCTAGATGGCAGCTGGTTTAATAAAACAACTTGCTAGGGGAATAGGTTCATGCTGTGAGGATTGGGAAGTGTAACAAAGGCAGTAGAATTTGAACACCTGGTGATAGAATAATATGATTGAGTCATAGAGGTGGGAAAGAGAAGGTGTATTGAAATAAGTGGGGGATTAAAGCCAAGAGGATGGATTTGATGGCAAAACTCGAGGGAATTGGAGGCCATTTAATAAACATTTGATCACTTCAGTGCCATTGTATTAATCCATGATCTCCAAATGATTTTTAATGTGCATTCTACTGTCCTATTAGGTAAGTATATCAGTATCTTAATTTTTTAGATGAGTTAACTTGCCATTGCTCAATATCACACAAATAGCAAATGGTGGAGCTAGGTCTAATTTGAGTTTTTTTTTTTCCCCCAAACAGAAGCTAGAAAGGATTAGTATCAGATTTAGTCACTTCAGGGATGAGAACTGAGAAAAGGCCCTTTGAGAGCAGTCTCAGGAGTTGTGTGGAATCTGAAGCCGTGATACCAGAGCTAAGGTTTGCAGTCTTAGTGAGGGTCAACAAATGAAGGCTTAGGGTTTAGAACATCACTAATAAAAGAAAGCCTCCCTGCAAGTTAGTGCTGGGCACACCAAAGGACCTAAACAAAGGAGTCATAGAAGCATGGAATCTAGGTGCATTGGGTGAGGAAACTGGGGTGACTGTCACAATTCGAAAGAGACTAAGCTTG